AGGCAGGAGCATCGAAAGTGTGAACCCAGCCTGGGAAATTTAGTGAGAGCCTGTCTCGAAATAAAAAATAAAAGGGCTGAATGTGGTGGCGCATGCCTGTAATCCCAGCACTCAGGAGGCTGAGGCAGGAGGATCACTGGGAGTTTGAGGCCAACCTGCACTATATAGCAAGACCCTGTCTCAAGGAAAAAAAGGCGGGGTGGTGGCTGGGAATGTAGTTCAGTGTGAAGGCCCTGGGTTCAATTCCCAGTACTGGCAAAACAAATACGGCAACACTTGGAGTGCCAGCCCTGGACAGCTCTGCCCACCGCAGCCAAGCCTGGGCTCTGTACTGTGACCCTGTGCTCACCTCCCACTCACTGCCCTCACATTTCTGCCTGTTACTCCAGCATTGCTCTGTGAATTTCCCACAGACCTGGGATGGAGGTGCACAGCCCAAAGCCTCCGCCCAGGAAGGGGCAGCGCTGCACCCGCCCTGCCTCTCCCTGTGGAATCGCCTTATCTCCCTTCCCACTGGTTTATGGGCCCAGAGAGGGAACCAGGCAGCCTGTAAATCACATACCCCACCCTGCTTACCCTGGTTATCCTCCTCTGGTGTTCTGCCCCCTCCCTCATCACTGGTCAGACCTTGCTTGCCCTGGTCGCCAAGCTGCATGGCCTTGGGCTTGCTTCTTCACTTCTCTGCTTAATTTCCCCATGGGGAAGTTGCTGTGAATATCAAATGAGTTAATTGTATAAAGTGCTCAGAATAGCCCAGTGTATGAAAGTTACTAGCATTTTTTTTTGGAGCACTTTTTTTTTTTTTTTTTTTTTTTTTTTTTGAGACAGGGTCTCACTATGCAGTTCAGGCTGGCCTTGAGCTCACTTCATAGCCCAGGCTGGTCTCCAGCTCACGATGATCCTCCTGCCTCAGCCTCCCAAGTGCTGGGATTACAGGTGTACACCACCATGCCTGGTTATTATTCTTATTTATTTATTTATTTTTTCTTGAGGGGGGCGGTTCCAGTACCAGGAACCGAAGTCACGACCTTGCGCTTGCCAGGCAGGCGCTGTGCTGCTGACCTAAATCCCCAGCCCTATTCTTATTTTTTAAGTACCTTTTTTTTGGTACCGGAAATCAAATATTTTTTTATCTTTGAGACAGAGTCTTGCTGTGTTGTCCAGGCTGGTCTTGAACTCCTGGACTCAAGTGATCCCACCTTGCCCTCAAGTGCTGGGATTACAGCTCTGCCCCTCCAGTCCAGCTCCACATGTTTTATCTCCGTGGCATCTGCCAAGTTCCCAAGACTCCCTATTGCTGAGTCCAAAGGCCACTCGCTCACTCTCCAGTCCTACCTCCCTGGCACCTCCCTGTCGCGGATGTCTCTCCTCTCCTGGCTCCTGGCCCTACACTGTCGAGAAACCCTGACTCTGAGCTGCCAGGGTAACAGGGCATGTGACACTCAGCAGGGCAGCAGGCCTGACAGCACCCTTGGCAAGGAGCCTCGAGCTCTTCAGCTTGGGCACAGCCTCAGGTCTGGAGAGGAGGCCGGTCATGGGGAGGAGAGAGGGTGGTGGAAGGAGGAGCACGGAGTGGAGTAGCACAGGAAAGGACAGAAGCAGGCAGGGGACAGCGACCCAGAGAAGTCAGGCAGCTGCAAAGAGCAGATGGGCAGACTCGGACTCAGAACTTGGGTCTGGCCTTGGGAAGCTGTGGGTGAACTTGGGAAGATTGCTTCCCGCCATATACCCCCAGCTTTGGTTTCTTCCTCTATAAAATGAGGGGGGCTAACTCGGGAGGCTGAGGCAGGAAGATCACCATTGCAACATAGGGAACTGGAGGCCAGCCTGAGCTGCATACCAAGACCCTATCTCAAAAAACTTAAATAAATAAATAAGTTAAAAGAAAAAAGGGGGGCTGGGGATTTAGCTCAGCGGCAAAGCGCCTGCCTGGCAAGCACAAGGTCATGAGTTCGGTTCCCGGTACCGGAGAAAAACCAAAAAAAAAAAGAAAAAAGGGCTGGGAATCTAGCTCAGTGTGAAGGTCCTGGGTTAAGAACTAGGGGGAAGAAAAATCACAATATTGAAGCTAGGGGTGGAAGGCATATGCCTGCAATCCCAGCCCTCATGAGGCTGAGGTAGGAGGACTGTCATGAGTTTAAGGCCAGCCTGGGCTCCATAGTGAGTACAAGCTCAGCCTGAGCCACACAAAATGACCCTGTCTCAAAAAAAAAAAAAAAAATCACAATATTGAATATGCTTCTATAGGCCTCAGGGCTATTTATCTTGGGTATTTGTCCTTTCTAACCTCACCTCTATCATATCCCCCAGGAAAATTGCTTTTTTTTTTTTAGATCAGGTCTTGCTATGTAGTTCAGGCTGGCCTCAGACTCACTACTTAGCCTAGCCTGGCCTTGAACTCATGAGTTCCAAGTACTAGGATTAAACATGTGCCCCACCACATCCAGCTTTTTTTTTTAGGCCACGTCTCACTACATAGCCTGAGCTGTTTTTTTTTTTTTTTTCTGCCTTTTTTGAGACAGAGTCTCACTATGAAGTTCAGGCTGGACTTGAGCTCACTGTGTAGCCCAGGCTGGTCTCGAACTTGCAGTGATCCTCCTGCCTCAGCCTCCTGAGTGCTGGGATTATAGGTGTCCGCCACCATGCCCAGTCTGAGCTGTTCTTAAACTCATGATCCTCCTGCCTCAGCCTCCCTACTGCTGGGACCAAACGCATGTGCACTATGTCTGGGTGTTGCCCTTTGACTCATCTGAACTACTGATACTTCTCCAAGTCTCTGGCTACCTGGTTGCCTTCTTTCAGAGGCCATGAGGGCAGGCTTGGGTGTTGGTGAGATTTCTGACAGCAGTACGTGGAGGTGGCGAGATGAAAGGGCAATGAGACCAAAGCTGGAGGCAAGTGAGATGCTGGGCAATGATCCCACAGGAGAGACTGTGCCAGAGCAGTGCAAGGAGACGGGCTGGACAGGTCCACATCAGAGATGTCTGGAGATAAACTCGGCAGAGGTTAGGCATAAATAAGTATGTGTTGACTTTCCTGGCTGCTCTTTCCAAAGCAGGCTCTTGGCCTAATCTTGTTTACTTCCTTCACGGTACTTTTGACAGCCTGCAATTACTTTGTTTATATACTTGCCTATGATCTGTTTTCATAAAGCAGAATCAAGTAAATTACCGGAGTGCTATGACCTTGATCATTCTTTTTTTCGGGGAGGTATATTGAGGCAGGGTCGCACTATGTAGCCTGGGCTGACTTCGAACTCACAGTGATCCTCCTGCCTCAGCCTTCCAAGTGCTGGGATTACAGGCATGCGCCATTATGACTGGCTAAGTTGATCAGTCTTATTCCAGACAATGCCTGGCACTCAGCAGGAAATCTCAACAAATCTCTGAGGTCTTGCTGGCTGGCACTGACCAGGGGTCTAGGGTTTCAAGTGTCCCTAAGACTAACTATCCAAATGCCCATTCCTAGCTTTTTTGGGGGGGTGGGTACTGGGAATCGAACTTAGGGCCTTGGGCAGGGTCTTGTGCCACTGAATATCCCCGGCTCTCCCTAGCATTTGAGAATACCCAGTTCCTACTTTTCACTTTCTGGCTGCTGACCGAGGGCAGTGGATATTTTCAGAAGGGAGTGAGGGACCCCAAGCAGCCTGAGATCTGTCCCTCATGAGTGTAGAAGTGAGAGCCAGGTGTGGTGGCCACATGCCTGTAATCCCACCACTAGGGAGGCTGAGGCAGGAGGAT